AAGAATTCTCGGCCGTCGATTACCAACGCTATCAACTTCATGCTCCTTGCGCTACTGCGTCGAGACTCGCCGAAATATCGAGCCGCGCTCGCGTTCGGGATTTACATCTAGTGTGTAATTGCATTCGCGCCGACCAATTAGCTGCGCGCCGTCGCGCATAGCTGATTGCCAATCATATGTGCTAGAAACCTTATAGTGTAACAGAGATTCACAAAGCGTCACGTGATCGATATACTTCTTTAATTGTCTGGAGTAATTCGTAGTAGCTACAATATTGAATTTATTATCAATATACTCAACATTGATTGCTGTCGACTGTTGTGGAATGAGATTAGTAAACTCATCCGTCAATCTTTTGTGAATATTTATCTATTATTTCATGCTTTACATGGAATGTTGCATTCCTTATGTACAGAATTTACATCCATTATCACCATGCCACGAATTGCGCCGCATATTGTTGTAGTAATAACAGTGTTATTCCACAGTAGTCAACAGGAGTCGATGTTGAGTACATTGATAGTAAATTTAATATAGCAGCTACTACGAATTACTCCAGTCAATCAGAGAAATATATGAATCATGTGACTCTTTGCGAATCTCTGTTACACTATAAGGACTCTAATATGTGCCGTATATCACTGCGTCATAAAGAGCCGTCTATGACATCCGGCGTGCGAGACCGCATTCTGCGAAAGAACACACACACACACACACACACATGCACGCACGCACGCACACACACACACACACACGCACGCACGCACACGCACGCACGCACGCATGCGCGCACGCACAATCCACGCAAAGCACGTTGTACAAATCCGATACATTACACGTACATCTTGCACATTGTACACGTATACAGGAAGGGGCATTTAAAATAGGTCACCTGAACTCGCTTGTTTTTAACAATAGAAAAAAAAAGTCAAACAAAAGTTGCTTGGTTTTGAGAGAAACGTAATGTGATGTTAATAATTGTTTTGTAGGATGATAGTGTAAAGGATAGACAAAGGTCAAATCTGTTTTTTTAAATGGAATGATACGTTTTTTTTTAACATTTTGATAAATCATTTTAAGACAAATACAATGACCTATAATTGAAGGTCATTCAAGGTTACGCAAGGTCAATAATGGAAAATAATTGAATGTAATGGAAAATAAATTGTTTCAAGACACTCTTCGAATAATTTCGTGTCTTCTCTTCTTGTTGATATACCGCTAATTGTTCAAGTGTATCACGGTATGTAAATAAACATTGAAGGTTTATTTAAACATAACAAGGTTAGCTGTATGATAATTGAAAATAAATTGTTTGAAGGCATTTTTCGAATATCTCACTAATTTACTTATTTGCGTACTTACCGTTACAACAAGTGTTCAAAATGATGATCTGAACGACGCATTTTCTGAAACGTGTCGATAAATTTCACTGCACGATAAATTTCATTCAGATCAATCGCAACGCAAGCTCTTCTTATGCACGCTCCTTCATGTCTTCTCTTGTTGTCGGCATTTCGTTGTACACTTGTTTTAATTTTCCCAACAAATAAAAATCCATAAGTGTTCAATCTCAGGAACGCGGCCTACCTGTTATTTTCTGATCGACCAATTCAACACAATCTCCAAATTTTCTGTTTAGCAATTCAGTCATTTCAGTTCATTCTGTTTAATAATCCATGCAGAAAGAGCAGGACATCCATCTTGTTGGTACCACATTGATTGTCATACGTTCAGTGAAAAATTTTCTAATAATATTTCTATTAAAATCTGTGCATACTTGCGACTATTTAATTCATTGATAAAATGAGGACCAATTATTTTACGAGAGCAAGTCAATAAGTTTTTAGAAAAACATAATAAATATATTTTTTTATAGTCTCCTTTCAGCTCGATACACTTGATCCAACGATTCTACAACTTTTTCAAGCCGTCCGAATAATATGATTTGTCCAACCCTTCAAAATAAGCCTCTGTTTCGGCGATGAGCTACTCTCTAGTGGTGAATCTCTTTCCTCCGAACCATTTCTTTAGATTTGGAAACAGGAAATAGTCGCAGGGAGCTAAATCTGGCGAATATGCTGGATGGGGAAGCAATTCGTAGCGGAATTCGTTGAATTTTTCCATTGGTGCTGAGCACGTGTGAACCCGTGCATTGCCTTGATAGAAGAGCACTTTCTTTTTCGCCAAATAAGGACATTTTTTTCTTTAAAATGTTGTTGAAACGATCCAATAAGGCTGCATAGTAATCGCCATTGATTGTTTGCTTCGACGGAAGGTAATCGATATGAATTATATCGCGTGCATCCCAAAAACTGTGGCCATCACCTTTCCGGCCGACTTCACGGTCTTTGCTTTCTTCAGAGCTGATTCACCCGATGAAGTCCATTGTTTTGACTATTCCTTCGTCTCGGGTGTGAAGTAATGGATCCACGTTTCGTCCATAGTAATGAATCGACGCAGAAATTCATCTGGATTACGTTGAAACATCTCCAAACATTGTTTTGAAATCGTCACACGGTGGCGCTTACGGTTCACAGTGAACAAAACGCGACACCCATCTTGCCGATAGCTTTTTCATACCCAATTGTTCGTGCAAAATTGAAATCACTGTGCCATGTGATATGCCTGTGACCTCAACAAGCGAGCGCACTTTCACTCGTCGATCAGTCAAAACAATATCGTGGACTTTATCGATGATTTCTAGCGTAGCAGCCTCAATTGGATGTCCTGAACGAGGTGCATCACATATGGATGTACAACCGTGTTTAAATTCATTCACCTAATTGTATACAGTCGCAAACGTTGGTGCAGATGTGCTATGAACATTATCCAACTCGGCTTTAATTTCTTTCGGCGTTAAATCTTATATATGTAGATGTTTGATCACTGCACGAAACTCGTTTTTTCCCATTTTGCAAAAAATACATAGGTTCGCTTTAGTCACCTACAGAAATAAAACCACGCGATGAATTCCGCTCAAAATTTGACAGTAATCAGCTGAAAGGTGCTACTTGTCAAAAAGTAATGTGGCATGACATTGCTAGTGCCTTCTGACAGATTTTCTAAGAACTTATTGACTTGCCCTCGTATCATTAAGAATTCCGGCCCAGACGTTTATAGACCAAGATCTCTGCCTGTCTACTTCTCTCATTCAATGTAGGTTTTCTACTTACCATTAGTGCATGTTGCGAAGATTTATTTGTCCATTGTTTGTAAATGTAGCTTCGTCAGTAAATAAGATTTTAGTGACCAACATATCAAATTCTTGTAGTCTTTGTAGTGCCCATTCACAGAATTGTACACGATTTTGAAAATCATTGCCATGTAACTCTTGATGAAGTGAGATATAGAAGGGATGAAATTTGTTGGAATGGAATATTCGCAGGATACTTTGTCGACTAATACGACTAATACTTTCACGGTCAAGCTTATACTAATATGTGGATTTCTTGATTCGTTGCTTTCTTGATTCATTTACGTTTTTTATTTTATCCACACTTCCTATTTTTTGAAAAATTTGTACTATTCTCTGTTTTGAAAAAACAGAGGGATGGACACGATCGAGAAATCTTTCAGCATACAAACGTACTGCTTCTCTCATAATTTGATGACATTCATCATAAATGAAAATCATATCGACTTTTTCCGCTTTTTGTATAACGCATTTCGCAAGACACGCACTTTAATTGCTAGATGAATTCTACTGATCAATAAATATGGATAATGCTATGTGCGATTCAATTTAAACGGTATGCAAATATTTACATACACTTGAACGATTAGCGGTATATCAACAAGAAGAGAAGACCCGAAATTATTATTGTAAAGAGTGTCTTGAAACAATTTATTGTCCATTACATTCAATTATTTTCTATTATTAACCTTGCGTAACCTTGAATGACTTTCAACTATAGGTCATTGTATTCGTCTTAAAATGCTCTATCAGAATGTAAGTAAAAAAAACATATTATTTCATTTAGAAAAACAGATTTGATCTTTGCCTATCCTTTACGCTATCACCTACAAAACAATTACATCACATTATATGCCGCTCGAAACCAAGCAACTTTTTGTTTGACACTTTTTCTTGTATTGTTAAAAACAAGCGAGTTATTCAGATGATCTGTTTTAAATGCTTCTTCCTGCATACATATATCAAGGTTCTATTAAATGCATTATTCGCATTAGAACCGTTTATTCTTCTATCCGCTTGCATCTCTTCTTTCCGTTTAACCTCTTTTGCTTTTCGAGCCGAAATTATTGGAATCCGACGAGCTAATCCGCGTGAAAGTTAGATTGTTTCAAATGTTTTGTGTTTGAAATTTAACATAACTTTAATAACTTTAATTTAACATAATTTTAAATGTAATTTTCTCTATTTTGTTAAAGAAAAACGAATAATAAAATTGCTTTTAAAAATGAAGTCATGTATAATACATTTTCTCTTAATATTCACAAAGAAAATTGTAGAAAGATCGAAAAAGGAAACATTTTAGTGATTTTGACTAAAAATACATTTTTTCACCATTTTGTTCTACTCCAATCATTTTAATTTGATCATTTACTCATTCAGAGATCAATTTTACATGGAAATACATAATTTTCAGACAATCGCAAAATTTCATCTTGCGCCGCAGACGAAATAATCTCCTCTAAACTTCAAATGCGTACAAAAACGCAAATAATTTGATATCGCCAAACGAAACGCATGTTAGTACTAGATTTCATCTCTACTTTCACAGACAATTTGATTTTTTCATGTGTGAAAAATGCTGTCGCACGGTATAATACATTCAAACTGAGCAACCCTGCTAATTCCAACTAATACAAATTGTTCTTTTGAATATCTCCGATGTATTTGATATTTTATATCTATATTTCTTTATGCATAACCGTGCGTGTGCGTGTGCGTGTGCGTGTGCGTGTGCGTGTGCGTGTGCGTGTGTGTGTGTGTGTGTGTGTGTAAAACAGAATTGTGCAATTATTTGCATGCATAGGTGAGCGTGTTTGGTGGATCAGCATGGACTTGGCATGAAGAACGAAAAGCGTATTATTTTCATCAATTCGCACCACAACAGCCCGATCTCAACTATGAGAATGAGAATGTAGTGAATGCAATGAAGGTACGTACAAAATAATATTGTGACAGACTAATTATTAAATATAAAATTATGATTCTGTATTAGTATAATATATTTTGCAAAAAAAAATTGCTAATCTTATAAGTCTTATAACAAGAGTTCACGCTCAAACTGCGGTGAATTTCTGCTTACTTATAGGAGATAAAACAGTTTGTCAGCCAAATTAATTTCGTATTTAATAACTTGGAGCCAAAATCCGATAAGTGGCCCAATTATAGCTCAATGTGAAAAAATTATCGCTGAATGAAATATCCAATTCTCTCGATCAGAACTTAGATCAAAACTGATATTGGATTATCTTGTTATCTCATTGTCTTGGAGAACCACAACAGCAAAACTGCATAGGGAGGACGGATTTCAGCATGTCGTCGATGTCACAAAGAGTGAAAATAAATCCGGCCTGTATATCGTACAAGAACATCGCTTTTTCCGTCATCGTCGCCCTGTGCGCGACAGATTTTCCGTTCATCGTTGCGTTGCAAAACGAAAAGCAAATACCGTTCTTTTTTTTCCGCTTTTTCAGCAATTTGCTCAAAATTATTAACATTTCAAAAAAATCACGATCATGATAAAAATCGATCGACAATACGATATACGTAATACATATTGTATTTACTTGTATAAAGTCGCATTTTTACACTAAAAGTAATTAACTGGCACATAAATCAAGACAAATTATTAAAATATATGTATATAAAATGAACGGGCAAATGTTTTCTTCGATCTCGTGGCCGCATTGATAGAAAAACGCAAATGCAATGAGCGTAAAATTATGCTTGCGGAATGAGTCAAGAAGCAGGCAATATACTATTTGCTAATTTTTTTAAAATGAACACTTAAAATATCATTCATACGTAGGCTACTGGAAAAGTTTCTGCAATCTATTACTTCCAGTGGCGCCAACGTTCTGCTACTATCATATCCGTAAAATTAGGCGTTTTTAACCTATAATTCAATTGACAGTTTGTACCCAAGCCAACTAGTTTTGTTTGTATAGTATTTTAAAAGAAGTTATTTTGTAAGAAAAAATGGAAATTTCGCGTGAAAATTTTCGGGCAATGATTTTTTACGATTAGAAATGTAATCTAACTCCGAAACAATGCATCGATCGACTTCATTTGGCTTTTGGGGATGAAACACCATCCAATAGGACTGTTTATAATTGGTTTGGCGAATTCCATCGTGGACGTATTTTCTTAGTGATGAATTCCGTGAAGATCGTCCATCCATCTATGTTGTCACTAATGTTAATGCTGTGCGTGAAATGATTGAGCGAGACCGGCATATAACATACCGCGAGATTCAGGCATCCTTAGGTATTGATATGAAAGCAACACATACGATTTTGCATGATCACTTGAGCGTACGGAAACTTTGCAGTCGTTGGATCCCACACAATTTGACCGAAGCTCAAAAACAGACTCGTGTTAAATGGAGCAAAGAAATACTCAAGAAATTCAACCGAGGTCGGTCAAATTTGGTCTACAACATCGTTACTGGGGACGAAACATGTATCTATTCGTATGAGCCAGAAAGTAAACAACAATCCACTGTTTGAGTATTTCAAAATGAACCGAAACCAACAAAAGTTATTCGTTCACGCAGGTGCTGCCAAGCAAATGATTGTTTGTTTCTTCCGGTTATACCGGACATGTGACAACCGTGGCCTTAGAGGATCGAAGGACTGTAAATACTGATTGGTATACAACAATTTGTTTGCCATAAATGAATTGCGTAGAACAAACCGAAATCGGCGCATCATCCTTCATCATGACAACGCCAGCTGTCACACAGCACGTCAAACCGTTGATTTTTTATCCAGTAATAATGTCGAATTGATGACTCATTGTCCGTATTCATTTGATTTATCACCTAATGACTTCTTTTTGTTCCCAAACATTAAAAATAAGATGCGTGGTGAGCGATTAGAGTCGCCTGAAGCAGCTGTTAAAACATTTCGTACACTGATTTTTGAGGTTACAGCCTTAGAGTGGAAAAAATGCTTCGAAAATTGATTCGAGCGTATGCAAAAATGTATTGATCTTAAAGGCGAATATTTCGAAAAACAATAAAGCCATTTACCGAATTTTACATGTTTTTTTTCATATTGTTTGCAGAAACTTTTCCAGCAGCCTACGTATACATCACACTAATACGATTTAACGAAGAAAATAATCGATAATGATCGTCCGACTGTACAATGACAAATATCTAGCGGACGTGAAGCGAGATAATTACGATCAATTTAACAAATAAAAGTTCGCCGAGCTGGAATAACAACTTTCAAACAAATTATTTGCACATCGTACTTAATTAAAGGCTAAAGGTCAAGTTTTCTCGTGGCCATTATAATACTTTTTCTCTTTTTTTATGTTACAGTACAGAGAATTAGTAGAATTATAATACACATGAAAGTTTTGTAAACACATTCAGATTCTACAATCAAATCCTGTGTGCGTAATTCGAGAAACAGTGAAATGATGAAATATTCAGCTGTGATACCAAAAGTTATAAAGTACACTGAACACGCAATAAAATCCGGATTGGACAAACTATCGTGTAGAGAATAAAGCGGCAAGCTCGCGTGACGCTACACAATCTACATCATTTTTGTACTGGTCCTAAAAACTCGACGAAATTTCAAATGTGTCTTTCGTTTGTTTTATTTAATAATTACAAAAAATCTTTTCTCTCATTGCGTATTTTTTTCATTAAAACATGTATGTAACAAAAATTTTTTTGTCATTGAATTTTATTGCTTATGCACGACAGATGTTAATATTTTACGCAATTTCTTTTTTTCTACGAAAACTTCTTCGAGCATCTTCTTATCATAGTATTATATTAATTCTTGAAAATCTCTTATGACAAAATTTTCTTAGAACGTGCCACGTTCATACTGTAAAGCTAGATCGAAATGACAATGAGAATAAACTGCAGCATTATTTTTCTTTAAATATTTATATACGTGTATTACTGAGATATATACTATCTCAGCAAAAATATATTAGCTAATCGGGAATGATTGCATCAATTTAATGAATATTATAGCACCTGCCTTTTTCACATTTCTTATTGTTAGTAATTCAATCTGATACGAAATTACAGAAATAATTATATATACGTTATTTATACTAATCAAAGCTGTAAATTATGTTATAATACTTATAAACTATTGTATGTTCTAATATTCATAACAAACTAACAATTTAATTTTATGTAAAATAAAAGAAAATAATTAAATCAAATAAATAACATAAAAGGAAGTTACGAATCACGCTGGATGTTATGTGCTAATGACTTTTATAAACTTAAATAAAAATACAAAGAATATTAAAATAAACATTTCGACCCATTATTGAGTCATTTTCAATGTTAGAATAATTTAAATTAATACTGGTAATGAAACAAGAATGCTCCCATGTGAAAATACAAATAATCGCGCAAATACTTGCATGTTAAAAATTGATTGAAATGAAGTGCAATATGACCCGGTTCTTGGAAGCAGTCTCATCCACCATACTTGTAGGTGTTAGTACTATTAAAAGTTGTCATCCGTGTCTTAAATAAATCTACTCCCAATGATAGAGTCGGCCGATACAAAGAAATAACATTTAGCGTGGTTCGTAGCCTTCTTTTATATTATTTATTTAAGGAGATTCTCACATTTAATAAAATATAAGACAAGTCTATAATATACATGTAATACATATGTCAATAATATCTAGAAAAAATTTCATTGGCTTTTACCGTACTATTTTGAAAATATTTAATTCTAAATGTATAGAATTTTACATTACAAGTTTACGGTATAACCTTATTCTGTTGTTATTCTGTTTCAAATTAAGACACTTGCATGTAACACAGCAATTTTAAAATCATTATAATTATAAAGTAAACACTTAAGTTTGTTCTCGTAAAGTTTCATTTAAACTGGCCATACAATTTACAAGAAATTTATATTCTTCAATGAAAAAAGCTATAATATATATCAAATGGATGATGCGTATACATCAAATAAGCATCTTACAACTTTTATTTGGTCTTATCTTGAAAATATTTAGTAAAATATAAAATTAATAATAATTATGTATAATGGCATAAGGTATTGTTAGTAATCTTTTATTCCATTATTTTTTAATTGTTTTACGAATTATTATGAATAAACTGTCTATTGACTAGGAAGTTGCGCGAGAACTTCCTTAAGTTAAATTATTTGAATCGTTTCTCTATTAAATTATAATTAAATCATTTTATACTTTTTATACACCAACTATTATTTCAAACAAGTGTATCTTGAGGAACACATAGTTTAGTAGTAGTTTAATCGACTTGAACATACATATAGAACACATAGACATATAGATGCTGTACTTAAATATATATTATATGTATGTATATATCGTGTTCTCTACTGCTGCTCTCAGGATGTCATGAGATTTTGGCTCGACAAGGGCGTGGATGGCTTCCGGGTGGACGCGGTGCCACATTTGTGTGAGGACGTCAGATTCTTGGACGAACCACTCACTGGTAATTCAAATCCTAATGACTACGGCTACACGCACAAAATATACACGAAGGATCTTCCGCATACCTACGAAGTAGTCAAAGGATGGCGAGAAGTGTTGAACGAATATTCAGATGAAAAAGTTATGATGATCGAGGCTTACGCGAACATGACGATGACGATAAAGTATTATGTATACGGCGCACACTTTCCCTTTAATTTTGGTTTTATTACCGATACGAATCAGGATTCTAAAGCAATTGATTTCAAGAGATTGATTGATAGATGGATGGTAAACATGCCTGTTTTGAGAGCAACTGCTAACTGGGTGGTAAGTCGAATAAGAGAAACTTGTCTTTCGAATCTAGAATCAATCTCCAAATATCTTCACTTAATTAAAAGCTTGAGATTTTTTTAAAATATTATGCAATATGCTTTTTTTTAAACACTTAACAATTCGAGATACGCTATCGTATAAATATCTTGAGCTCTATTTTTAAAATTACTAATAAATTAAATCAATAATATAATTCACATTGTATTCTCTTTTTACATATAATTCTATTCTCTTTTTACAGGCAGGAAATCATGACAAACCGCGATTGGTCACTCGTTACGGACGATATCGAGCGGAAGTTATAACCATGATAACTTTACTGCTTCCTGGAGTAGCTGTAACTTATAACGGGGATGAAATCGGCATGGAAGACACGTGGATCTCATGGGAAGACACCAAAGATCCGCAAGGTTGCAATGCCGGCAAAGATGTTTACGAGAAAGCATCTCGAGATCCCGCAAGAACGCCATTCCAATGGGACAACACCACTTCGGCTGGTATACGGATTTACTTAAGCAACTTCTAAAATCATTATGTCAATCTATTAGTTAAATTGGACTAAAACACAATTTAAGTTGATTATTATCTGTAGTAATAGTTAGAGTCCGACCGAAACTTTTACCGAAACTGAACCAAAACACTTGGCTACATGTAAATTTCAATCGAAACCCAAATCAAAATTTAAAAATAGGAATCCTATAAAGGCCGTATGTATAGACATATCATACACTTTTTCTTCATAAATATTGTAATTTATCGAAATAATAATTAAATTTCGGCCGAAATCGAAAATTGAAATTTTGACCAAAGAATATGAGTAGAGGAAAGGCCCCTATTATGCAATACCGAGTTCATTTTGAAATAATAAATGCTAAAAGTTTATCGGCAGAATTTAAAAAAATAATAGATCATTTTGAAGGGAATTTAATAAGTTTTAAGATAACATTATATAAAATTTAATTCAAATTCCATTTTTTTTTTAATTAAAAAATGTAAAAAGTGAGCAAATTGCAAAGTCAAAAAATTGTGCTCTTAATATGAGATGCTCCAAGAAATCGATAGTAAAACGCAAAATATATCAGTATTGCAATTTAAAAACTTTATTTCATATTTCTAAAATGCAAACAAACACAGCCAGCGTGCATGAAAAATGAGCATGCGATAGATTATACCCAGAGTCTTCAGGTAATTCGAATCAAGCGTCGTAGAAATAGGCATTCGAATAGGCATTGTTCTTTTTATTATTGTACAACAATACATAACATTTACTCTTTAACAACGATTTTCACTATAACATAGGAGAATGGGTTATTTCATATTAGAAATACCCTGGGTATCTCATACCATATTACGATTTCCACGCCTTATAGTTTTACGATCATCAAATCTAACTTCTATAATTAAACAATTCAACATATCCCGTATTTTTCTATTCTAGTACTCTATCACTATCCATGAAGAATTTATTGCTAAATATTTATTTATTAAATAATAAACAAGGTTTAAAGGCTCATCTCAATGAAACTTGAAAAACATCTAAATTCTAAAATCTTTTTTTACAATGACAAGCATGATCTAATAATGAATTTTCTATTAAATAGTTTTCAATCCAAGAGCGATAAATTCATGGTGGAACCAATAGATAGCGTTCATTAGTTTAGCAGAAATGCCGTTATCTTATATTAGGCGCTTATCTCATAATAGGGGGTTTGTCTCTACTTGTTCTTTATAAACATCAAAATTTAATCATTAAAACAATAATTACACATATTAAAATTAATATTTATGAAGAAGAGCTATATGGTTTCAGTCGAAACTGACACGTAATGAGTATTCGTTTTCAGTTTTGGTAAAAGTTTTAGTCGAACTCTAATAATATCTACGAAAATTCACAGAAGCAGTTGATAAATAAAAACTATTTATAAGCTAATAGCAAAATTTAAAGCTACTTTTCGTTAGTCCAAATAATAAAATATTTGAATTATCGATAAAAAAATATGTTGCTTATCATTTTGCAAATTTGTTAATAATTTTAAAGTAGAAGAACACTGAGAAAAAGAATTTTGTTAATTTAACAAGCCACCAGTACCTTTAACCGGTGATCGGTAAATATGTGACCACAAATTTTGTTGTTGTGATTGCTGCTAGTCTGCTATACCAATCAATTATTAGTAACAGAAGCAAACTATATAGAATCTAACCTATCTTTTGAATAAACTTTAGGCTCGTTTACATAGAATTCGTAGATGATTGTAGAGTCGTAAGTTGTAGGAAACCGACCAAGCACAGTCTAATATAGCGAGAATACTTGAGTAAAATTGGTAATCTCTTACGATTTGAAACCTTCTACTTATATATATGAGCCTCTTATTTGCTAGCGATACTATTGATTATTTGTTACATTGAATTAATTTGCAATCGTAACAAATCGATTGTTTTTTTAACAAATATCACATTTGCTTTCCCTTGATTTGTTTCTACAACAAAATCATTTCTCTCAGAATATTTAATGTTATTATCTGCTTTAAAACTTTAATATTGACAAAGTTAAATATCAATTTGGTCACATTTGCAAACAGATTTCTTCTCAAAAAATCGATTAATGATTAACTTGTTAATAAATAGCGAGAAATTTTATTAAGTAACGGGTCACTATAAAAACTGGTTCATATCAAACGAAGTACGTCGTTTTAATGTCAGTCTCGTGTTATGACCCACATATTAAAAATCAACGCAATATGTTTATTAGGTCATACATCACATTTTGAGATTACGAAAAGAAAGTGGGTGAAAAATTCAGGATGAAACAGATTGCTTACGATCAATCGTATTACAACGTACTATCGTTGTTAATTTGAATTTGTCATTTGTAGCAACTTAATCTGGAAAAGGCAACACATTCGAAAAACTAATAATATCATATCACATCATGTACAATATTGAAATTATAATTGAAATTTAGACGTGGTATACATAATTATAGAATTTCTCTATGTTAACGAAATTTAATTTACATTTATAATTTCAGGATTTTCCACGAATCAGAAAACGTGGCTGCCGGTGAACAAAAATTACGTGACACTTAATTTAGCCGCGCAAAAAGAACAGAACAACTCTTATAATGCTTTGTATAAAGCAGTTTCTGCTCTGCGAAAATTGCCTGTGGTTAAACGTGGAGCCTTAACCACGACATTATTGAATAATGATGTTTTCGCTTTTATTAGGTACAGTAAATATGTAATCGTACAATATAATAAAAAACATGCAGTTATCTTTTAATGATATTGTTTAAGCACATTTTAGAAATTTAAAAATATATTTCATCTTTTTACATGCTGGCATAATATATTTTTTAATATTTAATTTTTTTAACGAGATAACACGTTTAAAGTTGAATATAAAAACATAACTTCTTACAGGAAAATTAATGGAGAGGTAATTTACGTAGTGGCAAACTTTGCAAATGAAGAAGAAACCGTTGATTTATCAACGCTTGTTTATGCATCAAGTCAATTAAATGTTTATTATGCCACTACTAATGCTCATCATCTCATCGGGTAAGTACTTTTTTTCCGTACATAGTATATCAATTACACACTGTTATAAAATGAAATATTGTTATACAATATAGCATTAAAGCGTAAGAGGCGTTATATGTATTATCTCTTTATCTTAAATGTGTACTTATGTTTTTACTTCTTTTCAAATATAGAAACATTATCAAAGATGTTCATGCCGTAAAAATTCCTGCATCAGGAGCTGTGATACTAACCCCATAGTGATACTAGCACCACATAAAGCTAGGTAAAAAGCCATGAAAATGGGTATTCAATTGAAGTACCATATTTTGTCAACGTAATTATATCTATATTGTTTTAAATAAACAAAGACAGAATTATTATTATTCGTTAAAATAATTCTACTTCTAATCTCTTATTTTGCCATTTCTATATCCATTGCCGTTTTAGTTATCAATGTTCTATATTTATCGTATTAATCGGATTCGCTTGCGAAAAATAATACTATAGATAATAACATATAAATAACATATGATATAACAATGAAATATCAAAGAAAATAGTGAATTATTGTATAAATTATTATGATATAAATTAAAACATATTAAAATTAAATGTTTTAAGTAATATAAATTTTAGTTATACTATATTTTTCTATAGTATAATATAACAAATTTTTGATTAAGATATATGATGTACATAATACAATTTTTAAATAAAACAAAATTAAAGTTTTAAAAAATTATACATAATTACTATATTCTAAGTATATCTTCTAAGTATATCACTTGTTATGTATGGTAACGTATACGAACTATGTTTATTTTTGCATATTTTTATACCTTATAGACCTTTCTTATACAATAAGCCATTATAAAGCCATAAGAAATTGACCAATCACAGTCAAATGCAAGAAGAATAAGCGATTATGATTGGTCAACTTTTGACAACTTAAAGCTTAGATAATGGCTTGTTACAAAAAAGGAGAAGATATTATGGTCAATATATATATCATAGTATCAATATATATCGTAGTATATCCGGGCCTTTTTAATATCTCCGCTTTTAGTGACAAATTCTTCTAGTGATTATTTATGGAATTATTTATTCAGTAACTCGCCATTACATCATGACGCTAATATATCAATATACAATAGTCAGCACTTATTATAGTGCATTTTAACTTTTAAGATTTTCGAAATGTTTTTAAGAGGGTTTTCTACATTAGAGGGACAAAAAAAGTTGATTTTTTTTATAAATCGATAATACAACTCTTCGAGAATATGTCCCTAAAATTTTAGAACAAAATTCGAAGTCCTTCGGTATAAATTCAGCGCTTGTATACGAGTGCATAATGCGCAAGTATAAATTATTAAAAAAAATTTTTATTATAGTTCTAAAGTACTCTTAAAGCGTTCAATTTTCATTCTGGAAATTTTTTTCTATCTTTTATACTTTATAGTTTCGATGATATATTCGCTTAAAAACAAAAACGATTTTTTGAGAGATGATGTTTCATCTCTTAAATCTCGAGATAAGCACAAACAAAAACATATGGGACTAATATTATATTAATATGGGATAATATTATATTTTTTCATGCTCTACAACATATCCAAAGCTCATTAAAATCGGTGGTGTCAGTTCCCGGTAACACAAAAGAGATCTGAGTAGCTCGTAGAATGGCTCAAATTGAAAGTTTCCAAGAAAAAGCTGAAGAATTATTGTATATTACTGAAATAACAGATTAGCCTCCGAGCGTTCTGTAAGTAGTCAAGAATTAAATTGAAAACCTTAAACGCATTTTTCTCGGAATCTATTTTTTTGGATTTTCTTCAATTTTGTGTACATAATTGGAAAACAAAGTATTTGACCAAGTATTTGACTTTTTATAGGAGATTCGTTAGTTAACTAATAGTCAACTATCCTCGATAAAAATCCTCGACCTAAAAATAAAAACATAAACCATTTTTTTGCACAAAAAAACGGTTATTACTTAATGCAAATCGTAACTATTTGTTCAAAATCGGACAAAATTTTAATTCATATATATTTGTTTAAATTTTTTAGATTCATTTATAATGAAAAACTATAACAATTAAAAATATTTCTTAATTTTTTTATTCCGGCAAAAATTACAGCCGCTGGAATGTACACAAAATCATAACGTCGTGGCGAGACGCCAAACTAAATCTTTATATTTTTATTATAATACTTTTTCTTCACATAAAAATTACGTGCTCTACAATAGTTATAATATATTAAATGCAAAAATAATTGCATGCAAAAAGTTTTAAAAATATAATAAATAAATATTAGTCTTCCTTTTAAAAACAATCACCATTTTTTTTGTCTTCTATAATGTAGAAGATCCCCTTAAAATATTGACATTTTAACTTTTAATTACACATACTTCATCATTAAACTTAAGCATATTATCACACGATTACATTTTAGTGTGTTGTTCGTTATTTAAAATTTTATTTGGTTGCAATACATTTCGAGTTATATAAAATTCAACAATGTCATAGCGTCTTGCTAATATGTTATGGCTTCCTAAACGTATTGATTGCTATAGGCCTCCTTTTTCAAGATTTTCCTATCAAATAATTATTCCTTGAACTGATTAACTCTAGTATTAATCTATAATTTACGTTACACATACTGTAGATTTATTTTACTGCCTATATAAACCATAAGTTGTATGTATACACATATATATGTATATACATTGTGCAATATTCTATACTTTTTTGTTAATTTTGTAATTAAATACTGTTTTCTAAATAAAAAAATTTTTTAAGTCTATTTTTATGAAAGACCACATTACTACCCCTGTTTCTCTTCGAGTCATTATGCCATCATAATGTCGTCACATTTTTATTAATAATGTCGTAAGCAATAAATATTTTATAACTTTGAGTCCAAAATCGATTCAAAAACGTTTTAACGAATGTAATTATTAAGTTTTTAACCTAAATATTGCTTATTAATCAAGTTATTGTGTAGAATGTAACTGAGATGCCAATATCACTTTCTTTTACGCGTTTACACATAAGGATCATTTCCAACTAAGGATATGTTCGGGAAAACGCTATCAACACAAACGCTACTAACACTGTTCGTGTAACAAATAGCGCGATAGTGATAGTGAGTTCCATGAACGATTTTTAGCGTTTACGACGTAGCATTGGTAGCGTTGATAGCGTCTCCCCAAATGTACCTGCTCTTTATCGTTATAAATAATTTTTGATTCGAAGATAGTCCTCTTTTTCTTTGAAATTATACTGTACGGTATAAAATAGATTTAATATTTAAATTTAAAGTAAAATTTTTATGTTACTTATTTGCACATATTTATTATAATTTAAAGTTATATTA